TTTAGCCTCTTTCCTTCTCCTCCAGGATCTGGATGAATATGCAGCCTTCAAGATGTGGGCCAGAGTCATAAAGACCATGTAAACAGAGTCACTGTTTTCAACCAATATCCCATTAAAATCATCTTCTGTCTCCACTGGAGTTTTTTGGATGCATCTTTTCCGTCCTTTGACAGAAAAAACATGCTTTGGAAAAGAGCACTGAAAATTCTTGTCTTCATATTGGGGGTCTAGAAAGGAAAAGGATTCAAAAGCATCATATTTAGGGCTTACTTTTTGCAGAAATTCAAAGCTCCAAATACTATGGATGTATTTGTGATATCCAAGATGAGTCATTATATAGTATCCCAAAGTTGTGGTGATCCAGATTTTCTCTCTCATGGGTCCTGACAAAATGTCAAGTGTTAGATGAAAAATATGAAATGTGCTTGAAACGATAATGTGTTCTGTAAAGTGAACAAAGACATTGACTTGTTTCCACTGAGAAAAGCTGGAATCCGTGAAGGGTACTAGATTTCCAGTCATTGAGAATTGTTGTGATATAACAACACAAATTCCATTCCTGATAAGCAAAGGAGGAAAAGTCCTCAGGAAATTCTCTCCTTCCTCAGTTGTCTGGAGCAAGCAGACCAATCAAGGTCCACCTGAAATGCAGGAGCACTTGGACAATTGCTGAATACTGAAACCCTTCTTTGAGGAGCATCCGGTGGAAAAATGGGAATTTACTTTTATCACTCAGAGTCTTTGAAACAACTCTATGACTGATCTGGAAAAGCAGTGAAGAAGACAACTTCAAAATATGAGTTTTTAATAAATCCAACTTTTTGTTTTGATATCTTAGAATAATTTGTTGATTGGCCATTGTTTACAATATTAAATACAGAATATTAAGGAGACTTTATATAAAAATGGAAAATGAGAAACAAATTAACTAAAAGAAATAAAAATGTAAGGTCTTGCCTGTCCAATGTTCCCAAGAATGCAGGACTCTAGAAACTGCAGTTGTTCCAAAAGAAGCTTTTTTTGAAAAGCATGTGATAAGAAGAGATCTAGGCAAGAACTGAATCTTCTCACTTAAAACCAGTTATTGAAAGCAATGCTAACCAAACCCCTCCCATATTACATCATTGCAGGAAAACAGAAATATCATATACAGATTAGCACAATAATGCAGGAAACAGAAACAGAACCTTCATATACTGATCACTCCATTCCGCCCCCCTTCCTCCCACCAATATGCCAGCATTCCTGTAGAAATATCTAGGACCTGACAAAAAATAAAAATGCAAATCATATTTCTCAATCACCCTTACAATTTAATGCACACTCACATGTGCATGATGTTAACTGAAGTATATTCCAATAAAGGGCCATATTATATTTAATTTTGGAAGATTTCTACATTGTTCTCTGCTTCAATATTTCAAATTCTTTGTGCAGCCATTGTATTACTTTCTTCTTCAGTTGTACAAGAGACAGAGAACTAGTTCCTCATATAATTTGTCAGTTATATAAGCTAAGAGGTCTGAAGAGGTCTAAGAGTTGAAATTTTGTCTGTTCTAACAATCACAATTTTGGGAGTCTGTAGTTTCCATAGCTTTCATTTCATGCACCAATAATTAATGATGTTAATTGATATTGATTAACATGGTGTTGATTAATTGATGTTGATTAACATCAGACCAGTAATCAAGAAGTAAACAATACCCTAATCAAGGAACTGCCAAACAAACTAACAGCCCAACAAAAAACTCTCCAACACCATTCACACCAGTGCTTATAGAGCAAATCATTAGAAGATAAACTTGAGAGCATACCTCACATTCCTTACTAGCACTCATGATCTTGCCTAGTTTGGGTAATGAAATGTCTGCAAGAAAATAACTGTCTCAAAAGCTACAAGAAACTGTCACTTCAACACCGAGCTACAAATATTCTCCTTCATCAATTTGATCCCATCCATCTATTAATGCAGCCTAGATCTGCATTGGCTTTTTTGACAGCTGCAACATACTGATGCCTCATATTTAAGTCAGATAACATTAAAAGATAATCAGAGTTGGAAGGCACCTTGTAGGTCATCTAGTCCAACCCCCTGTCCAAGCAGGAGATCCTACACCATTTTGGACAGATGGGAGTCCAATCTCTTCTTGAAAGTCTCAAGAGATGTTGCTCCCACAACTTCCAAGGGCAACTTCTGTTCCATTGGTTGATTGTTCTCACTGTCAGAAAGTTTCCCCTTATTTCCATTGTGAACTACATGCTGAGTGTAGTTTTATCAAAGTGCAGAGGCACTTTGCAGTGAGACAGGTGGCAAACAACTTTAATAAATCCATGAATAAATAAAGCCTTCAGCAAGCAATTATTTGTTATTTGTTGACTGAGCAACTATCAACTCTCCTCAATAGGAACTTAGCATTTATTTTAGACACAATATCTATTTGAGCAATGGGTCAATAATTGATTGGGTATTTTATACAGTTTTTTATATTTAGAAAATATTATTGCCATCTTCCACCCAACTGGATATAAAAGGTATTATTTATACATATGGGTAAATCAACCTGCCAATAGTGGGACTCACAACATGGGTGGGTTTTTTTTGAAAAATTCATTTTGTAGAAAATCATCTCTGTGGGCTTTGTTGCTCTTCAAGCTTTTATGATGAATTTGATTCTAAATACAAAAGGATAAAAATAGTTGACATTTTGGATGATATGCTTGTAATATTTTTAAATAAAGTGATTAATTAATGATAGTAATCACTATGAGGCTGTAAAACAGATATGTTTTATCAACAGTAGATAAGATTGGAATAAACAGAATAACAGTGTTGGAAGTGACCTTCGAGGTCTTCTAGTCTGACTCCCAGCTCAGGCAGGAAACCCTAGACGATTTCAGACAAATGGTTGTCCTATCTCTTCTTAAGAACGTCCACTATTGGAGTATTAACTTCTGGAGCGAAGTTGTTCCACTGATTAATTGTTCTAACTGTCAGTAAATTTCTCCTTAATTCTAGGTTGCTTTTCTCTTTGATTAGTTTCCATCCAGAACTTCAATATCCCTCTCACAGTTATTACTATTGAGTTTTTTCCAGTACTGTTTTTGATAGGTTGATCTGGTTTTTTTCCTTTTGTGCAAAAAATAAGTTAAGCAGTTCTGCTTTCTCCCTGTTGCTTGTCAGCTTCTTACCACTTTCTACTACCAATGGACCAATAATTTCCTTGACTTTTTCTTGTTTTTTACATGTTGAAAAAAGCTTTTGATTATTGTTGTTGTTATTTTTGAGTTTTGCCTTACTTCATTTGAGCCTTCGCTTTTCTCACTTCATCTTTGAAAGCTTGGGTTATTTGCTGATATTCTGCCTTAGATATGAACTCTTTCCCCTTTTTATACTTTTTATACTTGCCCTTTTTGCCTTTTAATTCATCAGAGTTTTTTATGCAGCCATGCTGATTTCTTTTGAGAGCTGTTATTTTTCTTCTTCATTGCTATTGGGCTAGACTGGGCTTTTATAATCTCACTTTTCAAAACTTCCCAAGCTGCTTTGGTTGTTTACCCCTTAAGGGTTCTCATTGATGGAATCCTACCCCAAATCTCTCTAAGTTTATTGAAATTAGCTCTGAAATTAGCTCTAATTTGACTTTGTTCTATTGCTTATATGCTTGCATAATGTTGAATTCCAATATTGCATCTTCATTCCCCCCAAGGTTCCTGTTGCTTGATCACCTTTCTATCATTTCATCTCTGTTAGAGAGAATTAAGTACAGTATGACTGATCCCTTAATTCTCCTTTCTACTTTTTGAGAGTCAAAGTGGTCAGTTTGGTTTATCAGGAACCTGTTGGATCTTCCACAGTTTGTCTCCTGATTGATGTCAGGATAGTTAAAGTTTCACTTTACTTTTTTGAAGGGCTTAGTTAACCGACTAGCAAAAAAATTCAACTATTTTCTCTTTTTGATGGTACGGCTTATAGTGTGCCATTGTCACAGTGCCACTGTGCCAGTCCCCATCCCCCTTTTATATGCATCTAAGTGCATTCAAGAAGTTTTTATAATTGTTGTGCTCTATTTCTGTAAAGATGTACGTATTTCTCATATATATTACAATTCTGTGTACTCTTTTATGTGGTCTGTTTCTTTTAAACAATTTAAATCCCACTAGCGGTATATTCCATTTGTGGGTTTCATCCCACCAAGTTTCCCTAATGACAACAATATCATATCTGCCCTCATTTGCTTGAATTTCTAATTCATCCTATTCCTCATACTCTGTTTGTTGTGCATAGACATTTAACTCCCCTTTAACTGATCATTTGTTTACTTTCTATATAGCTTGTTTGTGCCTGAGTTCCCCTACTTCCTTGCCACCTGTTTTATTAGTGTACATGATATAGCACACAATATCAAAAGCTTGACTTTCCTTGACAGCAAGGTTGATATTCTTATGCAGACAAACGTCCATATTACAAGTACTGCTTACTCTATTAGTTTTAGATTGCTGGGGAGAAAAGTGTTCTGTATCAATTAACTCTCTGTTCCCATTTTTTAATTTAAATGTTTTGCTAGAGAATAAATGAATTTAATGCCAAGTAATTCAGTCCCTTCCTTGATGGATGCAAAGCATCTCTTTCACAATTATTTCCATGAATATGGCATTTGTTCAGCATTATCATCATTTTTCTAAGATCATGTACAAAATGTCAGCTTTCCACCAGTGCTATACTCTCTTATTTTATTGAAGACCCCTTGATTGGACACATAGCCTCTCCTCACCTTCACAAGTATGCATCAGAAGCCCCCAAAGCAATAGAGATGCTATCAAGAGGGGCTATGACTCTTTTTATACATGCTCCCAACCTAATGTGCATTCCAGTTTCCAGTTCCTACAATGGATATAGTTTAAAGCAGTTCTTGAACTCCAAAGAGAAGATATGGCTGGATCTATCATGCACCCACTATCACCCCACTCACTTTATTATAAGGAGAAACACACATACAAACCTGTGGGACTTTATAGGGGCTTACTAATGTTGACATCTGGAGGGAAATCTCTCTGTCAGCTGCATCAAGAAGAGCCAAAACGTTGTCCTTCTTTCCACAGCTGTAGTTGGGAACATTGGCTTCTCCAGTAGAGAGCATGTCCAGCAAGACTTCTGAAGTGCCAAGGGTGTTCAAATAGTTGTCATGGATGTTGTAGCCAAGTGTGAAATTGCACAGGAGCTGGATATTCTTGTTGATCTCTTGAATGGTGAAAATAAAGCGTTCTATTCCTTTGGAAGCATAACTTTCACTAGTTTAAAAAAAATGCTTTGGTTAATACAAGCAACATCAACAGCAGTAATGCAATACCTTTCCCCAAATTTCATCCTCTTTATCAACATAGGACTGTTGAGTATGAAGCCAATACTGATCAAAAACCAGAGGCAAATGATATTCACCCATCAAATTTAATATTTGTAAATGTTGAGAAAATGGGAAGCAGATAAGAATCACAAATAATCTATTATTTATAGCAGCAGTAATTTTCATCAGCACAGTACCCAGTCTTCAAAATCATTCCTATTTTAAACTACAACCATCATAAAGGAAGAAGATATTTCATAAGTGATCCAGAAAAGCTGTTCTAAAAACAATTCAACCACTATTCCTGTAAAGGATCAGGTACTGAATATCAACAAGTAATTATAAAAATATGGAAATGAGTTAGTCAAGGTTAACTACAACTATAGTATTTTAAACTAAAGTCAGTATTCAGGTCTTGCATTCTAGACTGGATGTGGAGAGGAAAATAATGTGGACTTCTTTCAGGTATTTTTTCTGCTCCATCTTTGTATTTGTGTCTCTTCCACTAAATAAGACAAAAGAGGAAACTCACAGAAATTTGATCGATCAACAAAATCAATCACTTCCTAAAATATAGGAGTAAGCAGGATAAGTAGAAAAGAATGAGAGTGTTAGAACTGCAGAAGGAAAGAATATAATTTCATTGCACTGAATATCTTACAAGCAAGACCGACTATAGGGAAGCAGGTTGAAAAACAACAATTTCTGGTTTAGTGTTACTGCACTGGTGACTACACCGATGAGATGATCTCCTGGCTTGTAGTAGCTCCATGGTCTTTCTCTATCCAGGTGCACCATATTCAGTGGGCACTTCATTCTAAGCCTCCCAGAGACTGTCTGGGACACCAGTAGCATCGAAAGCAGAAATAGGCGGTCCATAATTCATGGAGCTGAATCAATCGCCTTTTTCCAAAGAAGAGTTAGATCATTTCAAAGCACCCTCAGAAAATGGAATATCCAGGAGCTTTCCTTTTTCAAACAGAAACAAATTGAGCTTTATCTGGAAAAGAGGGAAAGGTACATTCACCATCACAGCCCTTGCCTGTGTCCTCAATCTTGTTCAAACCATTCAGCATGAGTAGAGGCTTATATCTTTTTCTGATGCAAGATCCATTCCGTGTTGCTTCAGTCTGATGTTATATCAAAGGCAGTCACTGGAAAAGTAGCAGTAGATGTCTCAAAGTCTGGGATTATGATAATTACTGTGAGTGATAATTTGTCCTCTTCCAGGGCTCCTTGTACTGAGGGGCAGCTGAAGAAAAGGATTTTTGTGAAATGTTGCAAATACACCCCTGGAGACACTCTTCTAAAATGGCTGTTAACCTTCCTATCAGGACATGCCCAGAAAGTGATGCTGGAGGAAGATTCTTCAATATGTAGGGAATTGACTTTTGCTGTCTGCCATTGTGGGATATGGTCTCCAGAGAATGCTAGAGAAGATCATCCAGAGCTATGCAGTTTGGTGGCAGTCTAGGTTCTTGACACTTAACTCTAATTCTCTCTGATACCTTCTACACCCTTGAACCCTGCCTGATGTTAAGAACTTCTTTGTTAATTCCTTTCCTTTCCTTATTAAAGTTTTGTTTGTTTTATTAGTATAATATATAAAAATTCCATTTCAATTGAACAGTGTGCTGTCTGGGTACAATTATTTTTAGGCAATCATAGCCTGAGTGTTCACAATAATATGTATCACAATAATATTAAAACTGTAGTGACAATAATATTTTGTTTGTCCATTTTAACAAATTTCCATTTTAACATATATCCTTTTTATGTCCCTTTCTAACTTTTGTTTTTATTTTCTAGCCCCATCAATAACATGAACCACATATGAAAAAGTAGTTGAGTTTCTTCTTTAACTTTGATCGTAAGTGTTCGCCTATCCATTTCTGCGCATCATAATATTTTCTTAATTACCTTCTCATCACACTGCCATTGTTGAGCATGTACAATTCTAGCTGCAGTTACTACATGTAAAATCAAATATAAAATCTCTTTAACATATTTTTCTGGTAGAATGCCCAATAAAAATATTTCTGGTTTCATATCTAAATGCTGTTTTATCATTTTTTCCAACCAGGTATGTATTTTTGTCCAATAGTTTTTAATTTGTGATCATGTCCACCACATATAGTAATATGAACCAGGTGTTTGATTACATTTCCAACATTTAGCAGATCTATCCTTATATATTTTTGCCAGTTTTGTTGCAAAATGCCATCTATAAACATTTTATACCAATTTTCTTTGTATGCAGTTGACATAGTCAGTTTAACATTTCTATCCCAGTTTCTGCCATTTATCTAGTTCTATTGCACATCCAAAATTTTTAGCTCAAATAATCGTTGTCCCCTTTACCTTTTCACTTTCAAGTTTAATGCCTAATAAGGAACAATATATTTTTGTTGTCATTTTTCATTCGTTCCAGTTAATATCTGGTCCAATTCAGTTAGTTCTTTATTAAAACCACATATTTTAGCATCTTTCTCATACTGAGATTGTATCTGCATTTGTAGAAACCATGCAATGTTCATCGCTTGACTACTAGTTCCTATTGGTTTTTAGTTCTTCTTTTTCATTCAGAATATCTTTATATCTTACAATTTTTCCATATTAATAACATTAGAATGTATCAATGCTTCCATTGTGGAAAGCCAGGCTGGTATTTTCAGGTAGTGTTGTTCTTTAATTTTAAGCCATATTGTTAACAATATATTTCTAAAATAATGTCTTTGAAAATAATTACGTATCTTATTCTTCCCATACCATAAAAAGTATGTCATCCCAGTTGAAGGTTGTGCCCTTCTAGACTTTTATGCCTCAAATTAATCCATTCTTTCACCCAAGTTAATATTGATGTCAACTCAAAAATATTTCTCTGGTCTTTTAGAGTTGTCAGCAGAAAGGGAGTGTGGGAAGTAATGCATATTTTAAATATTTTCATAGATAATTTCTAGGCAGCCAAAGCTTCTGGCGTGCAAGATGGAAAGCATGATTCATGACTCTTGGCTATGGATGTGTTCCATTGGAAAATATACATCCAGGAGTGGGGGGTAGACCAGGGTCAAGGGTGAGATGAATTCAGTGTTGTGGCTCTGAGGTTTGAGCCTGCATTGTTAGAGGATGAAGACTCGGACAATGGGGAAGAGGAGGATTTGGAAATGCCTTCCTCCCCAGGACCTTCCTCTTCGGCAATGCCTTCCTCCCTGATTGTGCCTCAGGTGTCGGCGGATAACCAAGAGGGAAAACCTGAGGCTAATCAGGAAAAGGAGGAGGGCATATCGGAGTCTCTGACAGAGAATCAAGCAGAGGAATGCTGGCTTGATGCATCGCAGGCAAAAGTGTGAGCTGCAACGCAGGAGAAAGGGACAAATCAGAGACTGAGCTGAGGGATTGACACACCCCATAGGGAATAAAAGTGGGTGTGTTCGCTCTGAGAGCTTTGTATGGGACAACATGTGACTTATTTAGAGGGGCCTTGGAGTATTCTGTGTTGTGACAGCTTGTGTGATTTATATTCCTGCTTTCTTGTCAGACTTGGCAGACAGCATGTGTGAGACTGCCAAGAACTTTATCGGCTCAAGGAATTAACTTTATAATTACTGAATTTGCTTGCTTGTTTGTATTCAGTTGGAGTTCGGACTTCTCACCTCCTTTGTAAAGGTGAGACATAACAATTCAGTATCCAAAAATAAAAGAAAAATGGAAAGAATCACCGAGTTCTATTCAATAGGTGAGATTTTTTTGGGTGGGGTCGGTATTTTAAAATGCCTCCAAGCCTCTCAGGCTTAGGTGGATTAAAAATAGAACTGTTAAATTTAACAATTAAATAAAGTGTTGTTTCCATTGATTATGTCCTGATACATTCATACTTTCAGGAAAGCATTAACAGAGTACTGGAAAATGCTATCCCTCCTTTTTGCAATCCAAGCGATCAACAAGAATCCCAATGTTTTGTTCAATGTCTCCCTGGGATACAACATCTATGACAATTATTTTGGACCACAAATGACTTCAGAGGTTTTGCTAGACCTGCTTTTGGAGGGGGGGAGGCCAATGTTCCCAACTGTAGCTGTGGAAGTCAGAAAAACACCCTGGCTGTTCTCGAAGCAACTGGTATTGACATCTCCATCCAGATTTCAACCATGTTGGGAACCTAAAAAATTCCACAGGTGTGTCTTTGTTGTGAAGACCATTTTTAGACATGCAACTTACAGTCAGACATCCTCTGTTATAAATGAAGAGAAGAGTTCTATTGTGGGAATTGCTTGAAGTAAAGATGAAGGTTCTATCGAACAGTAGAGAAGGATTGAAGTAGACAGTCCTCTCTCTGGTACACTCATAATACAGACTGTGCATCTCTGCTGGCTACTTGCAATAGCCAGATGCTTCATTGAAGAGCTGCAGTGGCTCAGTGGTTAGAGTGTAGTACTGCAGGCTACTTCTGCTGACTGCTGCTGACTGCAGTTTGGCAATCCAATCTCACCAGACTCAAGGTTGACTCAGCATTCCATCCTTCTGAGGTGGGTAAAATGAGGACCCAGGTTGTTGCTGGCGATATACTGACACTGTAAAACACTTAGAGAGGGCTGTAAAAGCACTGTGAACTGGTATATATAAGTCTAAGAGCTTTTGTTTGCTATTGAAGTGAGAAGAGAGACAATGTAAACAGAATGACCAGGAGTGGAACAATTCCTCTATCAGAGCCAGGTATTATTTTTATGATCCCTCTCAAAAAAAAAAAAAAAAGTTAACTTTTTTCCCTTTTCAGATCAGTCACGGTTTTGATTCCCAGGTTGTGAGTGATGAAAATCCTTTCTTCTACCCAATACTCCCTGCTGAAGGAGCCCAGTACCCAGGGATGGTGAAACTGGTCCTCCATTACAGATGGACCTTGGTGGGTCTCCTTGCTCCAGACACTGAGAATGGACAAAGGTTCATGAGAATGTTGATTTCCATGCTGGTCAGGAATGGCATTTGCCCAGTTTTATCACAAATCTTTTCCCCAGGTTCTCGGGAAGCGGACATAAACTGGCATTTATACTTCAGTTGGAGAAATATGAATATTTTTATTTTTGGTGCAGATTTCAGTTCATTCAATGTTGGGGTTTTACTTGTGGATCTAGTATTTGAAAGGCTTATGGAGCCTCCTAGAGGAAAAGTCATGCTCCCCACAATCTGCTGGGACTTTACTATTTATTTGGATAAACAATTTTTTCCTGTCAAATACATCCACAGCATATTTTCCTTTCCTATGAAGGAAATTCAAATTGCAAAGCATGGTAGCCATTTGAACCTTTATTCTTTTATGAGGCACTATTCAGAGATCTCCTTCCTGTATTCCTACACCAACCTTGCCTTTTGGGTGAAAGTCTGGAGACGGTGCAGGCAGAGAGAAGAACTGGCAGCTCTCATGGAAGAGGAGATGGATCCAATCCTGACTCGGGACAACTATTTCATTTACAACACAATCTGGGCTTTAGCACGGGCCTTAAATGCAGCTTATGATTATTACCATGTCATACACTGAAAAGTGTTTTGTGTATATTAAGCTGTTTAACATCACTGATCCTTTCACTTCCTGTCCTTTTACCAGAATGGGTCTCATTCTTTGGCTAAGAATCCCTCCGATTTTCCTTCCCCGGCTCAAAACTCAAATTGTTTCATATAGAGAAGCCACTTTGGGCCAAGAAGATAAGGAGGGTGAGGTCAGGTGAGAAGATGAAGAATTGGACTGGGAAAAGCATGGAAGCAACAAGCGTGAAGAATATTCCACAAAATCTTCCATAGATGTTCCATAAAATTGAAGGAGGTGACCTTAACTGGTAACAGAGATTATTTTTCACTATGAAGATATTGGGGTCTTTTTTCCATGGCAAGTTGTCCATCTGTCACTTCAATTCAGAGTGTCATAAGCGCAACCTACTAGTAGAGCAAAGGTCCCCACATTCATCCTCAAAGCGAGCAAAGATTTTTCTCTTCCTATCTGCCGATTGTCCTGTAAACCAGTTGTTTACAACATTGTTTCTGTGTGGGCATCTGATGTCATTTTGGCTTTATTGGTAAAATTCCTTCAGTGTGTTTTATTTATTTATTTGTTATTTATTTCCTTTTATTTGTCAAGCTTGTGTTAGATAACAGATATAATTAGAACATGATTATGATTACATGAAATGGGTACAAATAAAAAGGGACATTAGGACAGGAATGGTGGGCACATTGGTGCCCTTATTGTCAGCTTTGGAAGCCATATTCCACACTGCCACTTAGCCTGAGAAAGTGGAAGGGGTGTGTCATTTCAATTTAGTAGCTGTAAGTAGATGAAATAAAATTATTTTGTTAGTTCAAGGTCATTTAGTACAGCGCAGGATGAAATAAAGATCTTACTTTTTGATGGATTGTGATTGGGCCATGTGATGTGATGACGACCAAGGGGGGATGGATTTGTAGTGTAAGAAATTGTGGAAAGCCTGAAAACTTTTAGATTTGGGATTCTACAGATGTGCCAGGTAAAGGCAATATTCTCCAACAGAAGGAAACAGAGACTTACTTACACTCTCTTCTGAGACTAAGACAACCCAGGTTTCTGGCTCTATTTCATGGCCGTTTGAGAAACCACACCCAATTACAGTTTTACATTTTCTTAAAGAGATAGCATTAAAATGTCTAACCTGGTTTATATATTTCGAATCCAAATACCTGTTGGGTGACTTATATTCCTAACATATATCACTTCTATACTATGTATTATCAAGAGAAGTCACACATGGTGAAGTGGGTCATTCAGATTGTAGTTCTTATCAACACAAGAATAGAGGGTTGGGAGGGCGGAGCTGGCGTCGTGACGATATGGCATGTGATCTTGGAGGTCTGAGATTGCTGCCGATATCTTTGCTTCTGGATGGTCCAAGTGGATCTAAACTGTCCCGAAGAGACAGTGAATGTA